TAGTTTGAATAAAATATATATATGTGTGTGTATTTCTAGCCTTAAAGCATGTAGACTGTGCTGTGGTTAATAAAACTTAAACCACTTCAATGTATCACTAATTCACTGTTGTCTTTTTTAATTTTGTATTTTGTGTGTTGATCTTGTATCCTGTAACCTTACTGAAATCACTTAGTTCCAGGAGTTTTTTGTGTTTTTTTTCTTAGTTCCAGGAGTTTTTTGTGTTTTTTTTGTAGATTCTTTAGGATTTTCTATGTAGACAATCGTATCACTTACAAATACAATTTTTCCTTTCTGATAGTATGCCTTTTATTTCTTTTTCTTGCTTTATTGCAATGCTACATACCTATATTGAATAAGAGCAGATATCCTTGTCTTCTTCTGATCTAAAGAGGAGGCATTCAGTCTTTCACTATTAAGTGTGATGTCAACTGTAGGGCTTCTTGTAGATGCTACTTATCAAGTTGAGAAAGTTCCCCCCTATTTCTAATTTTCTGAGGGTTTTTTAATCATAAATAGGTGTTAGATTTTGCCAAATGCTTCTTCTATGTCAATTATAATCCTATGATTTTTCTTACTAGCCAGTTATTATGGTGGATTACATTGATTAATTTTTTCATGCTGAAAAATTACATTTCTGGAATAAACCTTACTGGTCATGGTGTATAATTCTTTTTAAGCATTGCTGGATGTTAATCACCAATATTTTATTGAGGTTTTTCGTGTCTATGTTCATAAGAGATGTTGGTTGGTAGTTTTCTTTTTTTTATATTACATGTTCTATATTAATGTATACTAAAATTACAATTACTCTTATATGAAATTCTGGTAATTATTTGTGTTTTTAAAAATAATCCTTACACTACAAAAGGTTGGACATTGCTGGGCTAGATAATCATGAATATCTCTTTTACTTTTATGAAATCAGAGTTCAATTCATGAACAATGCTCAGGCATTAGAGGGTGATGGAATGACACATCTTGATGAAAAAGCCAGACATTGATGGTTTTAAAAAGCAAGTGGGCATTTGGGGAAGAAAAAAAATACTTGTTAACTAAAATGGGGACAATCAGTGTACCTTCAGACATCTTCCCAGTAACATTCAAAATTCTGAGCAGGGTCTAAAAACTTATAATGAAAACAAAGTGCAATAAAATGATTTCATATTTGACATTGTTTTTCAGGAATCAAGGCAGCAAATAAATCTTCTCAAACATGCAATAAATAACTCAGGAGTATTATGCCTTTGAGACCTTTGGGGGAATAAAATATTATTTGGTCAGATGAGTCCAAATAAAGAGCTCATAAAAGAAAGAATGTAAAAACAACCTATTGGTAAGCAATGTATAAGTTTAAATATAGAATTAAGATTTCTGAAAGAGTTTTCCATGAGAACACAGTCTAAAGCTGAAATGTGTTTATTGGTTTAATCATAATGACTCTAATTCCCTCCAAACTTGCATAATTTTTGTTTTTAACTTATGATGATCAACTCTTTAAAATTTAGTAATTCTTTCTATTTCACTCCATTTTATTTTTTGCCAATCAAATTCAAGTGAAATTAAAGTTAATAATTTTATTTATAAATAATTGGCACATTATAATCCAATATTTCTAAAATGTCTTCTCCCTCCATCCCTTCTTCTTACCCTTTGTGACTATTTATGTCCATTGGGGAGATACCCTGAATGATATTCAGAAGATGTTACTAATGGCTATTTCTTAATAATAAAATTTTGGGCGAATGTTTACTTTCTGTTTTTATAATTTCTTATAGTAACTTTGTCATTTTTACAAAAAAAATAGGCATGTATTTAAAAACAACAACAGCGAAAGTGGAAAAGAAGAAGAAGAAGGGGAAGGGGAAGAGAATAACATTTTTCAAGTATAGGTGTCAAGTTCCCACCACCATGATTCACCCATATTTTCTATAATGGTTCCCAAGAAGAGCCAAACTAATTTAACTCAACAACCTTGTATTATGTTCCTATAATTTGGGAAGTGCTTTATAAAATGGTGCAATTACGCCTTGTTTGAAAATAGCATACTCATAAATAAGAACACTTTGAGCAACACATTTTATTTTCAATTCAAGAAAATTGGTCCAAGTCACAAATTCCAGCTAGATTTCATGCAGCACTCAGAGGTAGGGTGATTTAGAAGGACTGTAATTGTTACTACATGGATTTATATAACTTCTTAACTTTTGGATTTTGGCTTTGCAAATTTACTTGTATTGACACTAAGTTTATACATGACATCCATGCCAAATTTATAGATAATGAGACAAATTTTAGAGAGCTTAATCTGAGAGAATGGTTGTAACAGCATCTAGAGTAAAAAAATTCATGCTCAGTGTTATTTATACAGCAGTATTTAAGCAATCACTTGAAAAAAATGAAAACATAAAATACATAGATTTTCTTCCTATCTATACTACTACATTATCAGATCTTTCATTGAAAACCTATAAACACAAATTAAGTTACATTTATCTCTTAGAGATAATAATGCAGTTAAAAATTAGCAGCCACACAGAAAGATATGCACGCATTTATCTAAACATTGAGTTCAAAAATTGACATGTAACAATTTTGAATACTCTCTTTACCCCTCTACATTTTGGTAGGAATGAAGTGAATGTATAGGTGCTCTTGTCCACCAAGCTATATTTTTAAGGAAAAAATTATGATTATCTCTGAAATCCTTAAATGTAAATTATCAAACTTCTTCACACTCTTTGAAAACTCTTAAATTTATGTAGCTGGGTATTATAAGAGCTGAACAGATATTTTATAAATCTGATCAATGTAAACCATAAAAATTTGAATGATTTGGGCTCTCCATCAGCCAATTTTTTTCACCAAATCATAGCGGTTTGGAGTTGTAAAGGGCCATCTCTACATGAGTGGTTGTGAACTCAGGTTGTGCACCTGGAGACCTTTTAAAACATGCCTGAGCTCCAACTCCAAACCAATTAAATCAGGTAGCAATTCTCAACCTGTGGTCCCCTGACCGGCAGCATCTGCATCAGCAAAGAGCTTGTTAAAAATGCAGATGGGTAGGAGGGCACATCAAACTTCCTGAGTCAGAACCTGTGAAAGTGAGGCCCGGCAATCTGTGCTGTAACTGGCTCCTCAGGTGATGCCCTGCTTAGCAAGTGTGAGAACCATGCTCTCAGGTGAGGGCAGAGCACCTGTGACTCCTCTCACGTCCCAGTTCATTCACAGGTGCTGTCGGTGTTGAGGCTCATGCACCCTCTCTGAATCCCTCTTTTACATGTAAGAATACTCAAGGCAGTATTTCCATAAGCAACTTCCCAACAGAATTGGGAAATGTCCTGATGTCCGTCCCCTTTTTACAACATGCACAGTTTCCATCACCATTTATTCCCTCTATGACCTCTTCCACCTCCACCCACACCTCATTCCCCAGAAATCACTTGTTGTTAAAACAAACAAGTCATTAAACAAAGTCACTAACATCTACTTGACAAATAACCTAACACCCAACACTTTTTTAATGGCCAAGAGAAATATAAGCTACTCACAAATGTAAAGCCTGGGGGCTATTCTCAACCAGCATAGAGCAAAATTTACAAAATTTAGATGTTTCCAGAGGAAGTAGACATTGATGTATTTACCCAATTTACATGACTGTGGTTTATGTATGTGCATTTAATAAATCCCTTCAAGCAAGAGTGTGATGAAGCTAACAATACGTTACTTTCTGGGCGTAAGCTGCCACAACACCAGCGTTTCAGAACTTGAGGGAAGGAAACGGATGCTTAGATAAATTGTCTTGTCCTGCTCAGAAGAAGCCTGGCCTTGGGGGTTCAATTAACCCATCAGAATTACCACTGCCTTGTCTCAAAGCATCCAAGATGCCAGGCAAATGCAATCATCCGTGAGATCACAGTGTAAAGCTGAGTCACACGAAGCCTTCACCCGAGTGACTCATGCAGGTCAGCTGTCAGCCCTCCTCTCAGCTCTAACTCATCCCAGCTGAGGCCGAACAGGAATTTTCCTGTGGTGAGCATCGAGTGAGGAGGTCCAGGTAGAAGCAAGTTGCCACCGAAGCACAAAGAGTTGGGAAGTAGACGAGGAAAATGGTGCTTTACTCCTAACATGTGCAGTACAATTTTGTTAACCGCAAACATATTTACCTAAAATGTGCCGGAAACAGCCTCCACCCACATTGCTGAGCACATGCAAGGTCAGAATAGGAGAGAGAGAATCTCTTTAAGGTGCCTCCTGGGAGCACAGGACCAGAGAGCCTTCCTGGCCTTGTCCCTGTATGGACGGAAACTGGGGCTTAGTCATGAAACAGCAAGCGCTTGAATATCCCAGAGCCTGTCTCCCTGCGTGGAAGCAAAACACCTTGAAAAGTAACCGCTGCCTGGGCACCGAGGCAGCCAAATCTAAGGAGGAACCATCGGTTTTATTTGAAGTTCACTGAAAAGCCAGGTTTTCAAGCAGCGGACGTCAGAGGCACATGCAGTTTCTCCCAGAGCCTGGCGGCTGGAAGGAAAAGCTTGTTGGGAGCCTTCTGTCCTTTCTGAGGAAAACAGGGTGCTTCTGAACAGTCACGGTCACCGCCTTGGGCATTAGGAAGGCAGCCGCCCAGGAAAGGCACGCACGCCTCGGATGCTCCTTGGGAAGAGGAGTCTGTGACAAGTTCTCTGGAAAGCGTAGGTTTAGATCTTTGCAGGACGTAAGTTTTCATCAGGATCAAAACTTGCTATAGAAGTAAACAACCTAAACGCTGAACGAGATGCATGGCCTAAAACGGCGGCGGGCAGGAAGGATATCCTAACTATAAAACGAAGTGACCTGCATTATCACTCAGCAAACTGGGGGTTCGCAGGCCGGTTATGACTCCGGTGCTGAGCCTTTCGCTTTCGTGACACCAATGGGAGGGACTGAAGAAGGCATGGCGTGGGTCCGTGCATTGTGCTGAAGCATGTTCACTGTGTCTTAGAAACAGAAGCATTTTTTAAAATACTTCCATGGGTGCGTGGGAATCAGAAGAGGAAACAAGGGGACAGACAGCCAGGGCACAGGAAGCTGCTGCCGTCCACGCCGTCCCGAGGCCGCCAGCAGCGCTGTGTGCACGGAAGCGGATCTTGTATTTGCAATGTCAAGCTCCACAAACACATGAGGTATCATCGTTGGGATACAACGTTTCTGCCGCTATATTTGAATAAAGTGCAAAAAGATTTCCACGCACAGGACTTACATTGTTCTTTAAAATACTCACGTACGCATACACACCACTTCTCTCCCCGGCCAGCAAGCATGAGGCTCACAATCCTACCTTCTCCAAGGATTTTCTCCGCATCTGTCCAGAGACATCACAAATGTAAGCACTGTGAGCTGGAGGAATGTAACTCGTGAACATCAGTTGTGAGCTAGAGAAGTCAGCATGCAAAGACTTACACTGAGTCTGTTTTTGGCCCTCAAATGTGATATTTTACATGGAGTCCTGATTTGACACAGGTGTACCTTACACAAAACCTTTTTTTTTCATCTTCATGCTTTTGTCTCCTCCTAAAATATATCAGAGTCTTGCATTCAGAAAGGTATCTCCTAATATAGGATAACTTGATCTTTTTATACCATTGCCTCATTGTAAACATGAATAGATATGACATTGTCATGAAAACTACATTTGAAACTCGAGTGGTGATGATTTCAACGCCAAATTAACATTTCCAGAGGGAGTAATATGTGGGGTAATTGTGCAATAACATCATTACAATTCAATAAAAAAGCACTTGTTTGTACTAGAAAGGATATCCCTAGGTATATATCCCTAGTGTTTTCTTCCAACGTTACCTGAGCCGAGCACTCAACACACTGACCCCACACAGCCTGCCCACCCCCTCCTGTGACACATTGAATTCTGACTGCTCTTCGGCCCCTAGAAATTATTACCTACACATCATGCTCGCTGACATTTCTTTAATTCTCTCTTTTGAATCGGTTCCATTTAAGGAATAGCTAAGGCCTTGGCCAAGTATATGTACAATTTTAATGCCCAGTTTCATTGTCAAAAACTCATTCACAGCCTCCACTGTTAGCATAGTTGTACTTGGCACTTTTCCCTGAATTTTATTTTTTCAGTCAACTCTACAAAGCCCAGGTTCACAGGATAGGTTTCATGTGACGGGGCCAATAGCTCACACCCGAGAGTCGCTGCTGAAACACCCCTCTGAGCTCCTGAGACCGACTCAAAGGACCTCGTGGTCACAGCTGGAGGCAGCACACTGTCTGAATTCTGTACGCTGCTCACAACCGGCAGCAAAGGTGACCTGTGCAAATGCACTGGACAAAGTCTGAGCCCCTCTATATAAATGGCCACAAAAATAAAGTCAGCGAACATTCTCACTGTCCGTGATCATAACTTATAATGTTACCCCTTTTCTTAAAACTGAAGAACTAAAGCATAATTTTTTTTCTAAATAATTCTGCTTCAAAATATAGATAATAAATATTCCTGACCATACTTAAAGGCTTATTCCTTATTCTATAAAGAATTGAACATATCTATGGAATTCTATTAAACTTTCATGTCTTAAGAGGTATAAAACAAGGCAGCATTTTCTTTTCCCTTTTAGAAATAGATTTTTTAAATAAAATAAAATTTGGAAATAATTTTCTCTAGGCCTAGGGATTTCCTAAATGAATCAAAGTACTTTTTAAGGAATTTAACCAAAACAATGTGAATTGTTGTTAAGATAACAGGTACAGCCTTCCTAAACCTCCCCCACCCCCTTGTGTTTTTACGTGCCTGGTCCACATGGGGAAAACATGACGTGAGGCCCACACGCACCTTTCTTCACACGTGCGTGCAGTTGGTGGATGGTGGGGTGTCCAATCGACTTCTGTTTTCTTTGGTGTCGCTGAGGGAGGACTCGCTGCGCACATGGCACTTGAACACCTGCTTGTAGGCCTTCCTGAAGTTCTCAGAGAGGAAGGCGTAGATGATGGGGTTCACGGAGGAGTTGCTGTAGGCCAGGCAGTGCGCCGCGATGCGGAAGAGGAAGGAGGCGGGCGTCAGCGGGAAGACCCCAAACTCGACCCACAGGTGGATGACGTGGTGCGGCAGCCAGGAGATTCCGAAGACCACGACCACCACCAAGACTGTCTGTGCTGTCTGGGGGCAAGGGGAGGGGCGGGGGAGGAGGAAGACACATCAGTCCCAAAAGGAAAGAACCAAGCATTGCAAACACATACTAAGATAATTTCATGACTCTTCCCATGGGATCCAATAGATGCTAAATCTGTGCTAAGCATTGACCTTCAGGTCACAGACTGGTTTTGTTCAAACTTCTCCAGGACCCGGCATGACCTGGCGCAGAAATAACTTAGCCGTGTGTGTGAAGTGCGTGGAAGATGGGACCGGTGCTTAGGTCATAGGAATAGAACGGTCTAGAGATTCAACATGGTCCCTTCAAAACCTTCAGCACTGAGCTGCGCGGCAGCTCAGATGAGCCGTGGAGCCTGCCCCGAGCAGTGGTCTCCACAGAGATGCAGCTGTTTAGTTCTCCTCCTCAAACTTTGGCAAGTTAAGGACACAAGTAGGTGCCAGAGACCGTGTGGGTTTCAGTCTGCAGAGCAATGAGCCCACTTGCTGGCACTGTAACCCTTCCTGTGCGCCTAACCCAGCAACACCCAGAGGCAGGGTCCCTGTGTGTGAGTGAGGGGGTCCTCCCCATAGGACCTCAGCAGGGCCGAGCCTCCCTGCCTGCCCTCCGTCCCCTCCTGCCTCCCTCTGTACACTGCACTGGAGACACTCACATCACCTCCTCCAGGGCTGCAAACCCAGGGGTCAAGCCCTGGGCCACTAGCCCTGTGATTCCTCCCCACTGGTTCAGACATACTGAAAGGCAACACCTACGGAGCTGTTGTGTTAAGCTGACACTCCATCTCTAGGACTCAGTCAGACATGGTGATCTACTGATATTTTTTAAACTATAAAATGCAAAGCAACCAGCTGGTTCCTTCCTTCAAGGGTGGCCTCCTCCACCGAGTGAAGCTCGGGAAGCAGCAGGGCCTCGCCGTCTAATGGCAACAGCAGAAACAGGGCCGCGAGGACAGCACTGAGGACTGTGTGACCCGCTGAGGTCACTCCCCATCTGCCCCCTGCTCCCCCAGGGAGCAGACCCCACAGTGATCAGCAGCTGTCAATGAAAGAACTGAGACTCAGAATGGTGAAGACAAGTGCCTGGCGTCCCATGGCTACACGCCAAGTGAGAGCTAGAAGCCAGGTCCCAGTGACCCCAAAGCCATGCCCTGAATGTCTGAGACACAGGCAGGAACTGCTCCGAACTCCTAGTCACCATCAACCGCCTCCCACCCACCTGCCTGTTGGTGGTGATGTGGGCAATAAAAACACTCACAGGAGACAGCAGCCATCGGTCCCCTCACTGACCATCCCGGGACATCCCCCAGTTCTTGTCACCAGGGAGTCTCCTCCTCATGCGGAGAAAGGCTAAGGACATGAGAGGTGCATACTTTCAGCCCCTTGCCTGAAAGTGGCCTCTCTTTTTTTCTCAGGTTTAGTCCAGGTTGAAATAGTTTAAGAGTGTGATTCAGTTTGTGGGAGGAACATTGGACCACTGGCCTCCCCACACATCTCAGACCAGGAAAGCGGAGGGGACACATTTCCATCTCCCAGTGAGGACACGAGAGTGGGTGGAAGACTTACCTGCCGGCCACCTGCCCACCTCCTCTCCTATACAGGAATAATTGTGACAAAAACTGATGAATGTGGGAAAGAAAGTGGAGAGGAAACCAGACAGAGAGAAGGAAGAAGGTAAGAACAACATATGGAGCTTTATTTGTCTAATAGCCCCACACGGGAGAAAGAATGAGACCCAAGAAAGTGATTTCATGACCAAGGAATCACGGTTACACCACAAATTCCTCCGTGTGGGAAAGGGGGACCCCACATCTCTGCACTGTGGGGACATTCCCACATGACAGAATGGCTTTTCTATTACTTGTCATGCATTAGAATCTCACTATTCTAGGAAACAACACCCAGAATGCAGCAGGGAAGACACCGACTTTGTAAGCAGACTGGGGCAGAGGTGGTAGAGGCGACCATCAGAGTTCAGGTCAAAGCCGGGACAAGCGCAGGGGTCAGAGGGCAGGAGATGAGAGTTAAGCTCACTATCAAAGGGCCATGGATTGTGCAGAAGCCCTGATTCATCAGGCATAACCTGGCTGTGGGACCTGAAACATGACATAAACCCCCCCGGGCCTGGACTTCCTCATCTGTGCCTCAGAGTCACCTGACCACAGGTTTTCACAGGTGGCAGGATTAGATGTCACTGCAGAAGGCACAAAGCAAACAAGTGATAGGCTCAGGTGCATTAGGGGACCATCTGCTCTCCATCCATTTCTCCCTCAGTGCAGAAGACACTGGTTCCCAGATCACTGAGCCAAAACCACCTAGAGGTCCTTCCACCTGCAAATGGAAAACATCACCTTTCTTCCTAAGAAAACAAGAGCATCTCTACTTCACAGAACAGATGCCCTCTGGATCTCGCCTCTGGCTTCTGTTAGGGAGTGTCTGCCAAGTACCAAGCTTAGGGCAGGAGGAGAGCCAGCAGCTCATGGATTAGCAACTAGGGTTGGAGGACCCACCAGGAAATGCAGTGCCTCTCACTGTGCATTTGGTCATTCAAAATTTACCTTTTTACTATTCGTAATCCCTGATCTGTTCAGAACTACGAGATCAACCTGTAGCCTTCAAATGAGACTGGGTTACAGTTTGCAATATAATATCAGGAAAGAACACTTAATGGGCACTTTCATAGACTGTGTCATTTATCTAAGGCTGTTCCCAAAAGAGTTAACTAGACTGCTCCCCACTAAGCATCGCGGGGCTTCTCTATGTTCCCCGTCTCACAAGCATCTCAGCCCGTCAGAGGTGAATTTGTGTTGGCCGGGGCACAGACAGTATCCTGGCAGTTCCCAGGCGACTCCAGGTCAGCCCAGCGATGTTAACTCCAGCAAATGCACGTGTGTACCCTTGGACACAGCATGTTGTTCATCCATGTGGGCCCTTGGACACAGCACATGGTTCATCTTTGTGGGCCCTTAGACACAGCACATGGTTCATCTTTGTGGGCCCTTGGACATAGCACATGGTTGTCTCCTGTCTCCCTTGCACAGAGGGTCCTAGCCCTCCAAGCCCAAGGGGCTGAGAAGCTGAGCGGGGAAGGGGGGGTAAAGGGGGGATATGAGTATAGGAAGAAGCCCCCACATGTGGGCAGAACACCATCCTTCACTCACTACTTCTTCCTATGATGGCTGGACATTAACGATCCGGTCAGAACAATGCCATACCAACCGCCAAGCTGGGGCTGAGAAAGATGGACACGCTCTTCCCTGCCAGGGCATGGCTCCTACATCTGGGCCTCAACCCCACGGCTCAGGAAGTTTCTAAACATCTCAGGTGTTTGAAGAACCACTGATAAAGACCACAACAAAAGCAAATCTTCTTGCCCACTTCCAGTTAAAGGTGAAGTTGTTTCCTCAACGTTCACCACCCCTGATTCTATACACACACACACACACACACACACACACACACACACACACTGTATTCTCCCCAGAAAGACTTGGAAAAGCTGCTTCCTCTCTTTCCCTTTGAAATGTCAGGCTGTTGGGAAAGAATGCCCTTCTATGGATAATGGGGATGATTTCTTAAAATTTCTTACAGGGCTTTTCTTCATTTCCTACAGCATCGGCCTGAATGAGAGACAGAGTTGAGCCTGGTGTATGTACCACTGTGCTCAGCAGTCCACGCAGAGTGTGGAATCCCGGCCCAGGGCCACCATCTGCAGGTTATCCTGAGCCTATACACTGACTCCTCCACTGGGGGTGGGACCTTGCTAGCCTCGTTTCTTTTTGCTCCTTAGGCTGAAAGTATCTGAAAAACATTCATCGCTCATCTTCCTGGGAGATGCTCTTTTTCAAGTCATCGTAGACATCTGTTTTTTTCTTCAAAGAATTTTGCTCAGAACATGTCTAATGGAACTAGGCTGGGCAGAAACAAAAAGTAGCTAAAAGATGAGAATGATGAAAAACATGATGTGATTGTATAAATGACAGTCGAAGAGCTTGTTAAATACTTCCAGCCAGAGGGGGAAGCGACGGTGAAAGAACCCAGTGGCTGACATGGTGTCGAGAGGACACCTGTTCCAGGTTCCTCCTGGCCGTGACCAACCCATATGATGTCTGTCCCATTCTGATGGCTTGCAACGGCTATTCCAGAGCTCATCTTAGTATCTGACCGGCCTGTGGCAGAAAGCATTCCCCTATGTCTAGCTGGCTCCATCGCAGGGCTCTATGCTGTCATTGCTATTATTCCTGCAGTGAAAATTACATCCTCCTTCTGTATTTCACCCCAAACATGGAGGACAGCTGTTTGGGGGATCCCTGTGTGGATGGATACAGCTCAGAGATAGGAAGCTGGACTTAGCCACAGAGAGCAGGAACTGGGAACAGGTGAAGCTGAAGTGAGGAGCTGTCACCATCCGAGCCCCATGGAGCCATCATCCAGCAGGCACTGTGGGGAGACCCGGGGACAGGGAGCCCATCTGTTCCCTGCCTTTGGGAACTTCCCATCGAGCCTGGCTGTCCACCCCAGACTTCCCTCTTCTCTCTCCTTTCTCCACCCTCTTCTTACTCTCCCCTGCACCTCTCTGCTCTCTCTTTCTTAGACACGTACACACACACGCATGTTCTATGCAAACAAGGAGGCAATTAAATATATCAAAAGAGATCTTCTGACATCTGTTCAGAGGCTATTAAGGGTCAGAGGCTGTGAGAATGGAAGAGAAACTCTGCCTCCCTCCTCCAAATACTAAAACCCTCTCCTAGGATAAGAATTACATGCACACACATATATAATACACACACATACACACATATACATGTGCACATCACACACACACACACACACACACACACACACACATTAAACGAAGTAACTATTAAACTAGTTACTAATCTTTAGGCCTTTTTATTGTAAAATAAAACAGAAGTTTTTCTTGTCATTTCTTATAAGACCTGTTCTCATTCTTTTAAACCACTGTGTTCTTCTCTGGGACTTTCACAGTTTTTCTCCAACACTTTTCAAATATAGGAACTAAAATCACCATTGCATGCCGATAAGATCCAGCTAACCTTAAAGAAATGCTTGATTTCATTCCTGTTGCTGAGCACAAAATCTTGCACATCAATGACAATCTGTATCATGTATGAGCAGCATCACCTCCTGGAAGTTCAGCCAGCATCCCCCCTCCCAGGGCCCTTAGGTGGACAAGGCTCATTCCTGTCCCTCTGCAGGGTCGGGCCCATGGCCCCTTGGTCCTGTGCAGGGTGGAGCTCTGCAAATAACCATCCAAGGGCAAGTCTAACAACCCTTAATGGTTTTTAATGCATCCTTTTCTTGGAGAGGAGGAGTGTGGCTCAGAGGGGAAACTAAGAGATAGATTAAAAACTGGGATATCTCCAGCACAACAAGGCCTCACTGAGCACAGGCAGGAACACCCACTCCACACCACCCCACACTTCTAAGCTGCTGTGCAGATGGGTCCACATGCTGGAACAAGCCTGTGTGACTGATGGCTGCCCGGACACAAGGACAAACACTGGAAGGGGCACTAAGACAGGCCTGCCGTCCACGCTGTGCCTTTCACTGCAAGTTGCTTCTCCTAAAAATTATCTGGTTGTATTTCAAATGCAAGCTGGATTGTGGCTTTTAAACCAATTGCCTAGCATTTCTATCCATCACCTTTGGGAACAGATGTATGTTTCCTACATCATCGCTTATCAACAAGAAAAGTCCAGAAGAGCTGTGCTTTACTTAGGTCGGAGTTTAAAAAATAAATATGATTAAAGTATAATTTCTGCAAATTACGTGTCATTCATCACAATAAATATTTAGAAGGAAAAACAACGTATTTTAAGATGTTATGTCTAATATTTAAGGATAGCAATGTCTGTTTATAATCTCCTCTCCCCTAATCATACTGTCTAATAATCTCATTCTATTTTCTAAAATTAGACAGTATACAGATGTTATCTGAGTAAGAGTTAAATTAACCCTGATTTGTAAAATAGCTTTTTCCTCAAAATGTAAAATGTCAAAAATAGCAGATGTTAGACAGGTTATCATTACTCAGTTTAGACAAGACTCACCTGATAAGAATGTCATTAAAAATGGGACCTGGCTGAGGTGGCTCTGACCTATGAACCAGAAGGTCACACTTCAATTCCTTGTCAAGGGCACATGCCGAGTTGTGGGCTTGATCCTCAGTAGGGGGCGTGCAGGAGGCAGCCAATCAACAATTTTTCTCTCTCATCATTGATATTTCCCTCTCTCTCTCTCTCTCTCTCTCTCTCTCTCCCCCACCCTTCCTCTCTGAAATCAATTAAAAAAAATTTTTTTTTAAATGGGTAGAATCCCCCTCAGGGCCTCCTCCCAGTTGTAAGTCTCCTCCCAGGGCCAACATCAGCATAGGTCTAGGAGGGACAGAGAACAACAGTATCTGCTCATGGGCTTAAGGGACAGATTCCCTCCAAAGACAGGCAAGCCAGGGCCTTCTGGGGTCATGCCAGAGATGGGAAATGCACAATAAAATGACTATAGGTCATGCAAATTTTGGATGTGGTAATTCTACTACACTCAATCCCAATCAAGCTAGAACACAGTTCCTACAGAGACTCAGAACCCCAAACCTCTATCTACATTTTAATGCAGCAAAATAGTTACCTGCATGGCCCTCAAGATCTGACCTTGTGTCTACACTCTACACCTAACAGTAAGAGCTTCCCTTCAAACACCTGTTCTTAGGAACTGAAGTTTCACAGGCATTGAGTGGACATGAGGATAAGGAAGAATAAAAACAGTCCTGGCTGGTTTTGCTCAGTGGATAGAGCATCAGCCTGTGGACTGAAGGGTTCCGGGTTTGATTCAGGTCAAGGGCACATGCTGGGTTGCAGGCTCGATACCCAGTAGGGGGTGTGCAGGAGGCAGTCGATCAATGATTCTCTCTCATCATTGACGTTTCTATCTCTCTCTCCCTCTCCTTTCCTTTCTAAAATCAATAAAAATATATTTAAACAATATTTTTTTTCAATTTTTTTTTTTTTTTAAATATATATTTTATTGATTTTCCACAGAGAAGAAGGGAGAGGGATAGAGAGCTAGAAACATCGATAAGAGAGATTGATCAGCTGCCTCCTGCACGCCCCCCACTGGGGATGTGCCCGCAACCAAGGTACATGCCCTTGACCGGAATCGAACCTGGGACCCTTCAGTCCACAGGCCGATGCTCTATCCACTGAGCCAAACCGGTTCGGCAAACACAAACAATATTTTTTTAAATAAAAATAAACACGAAGCTGTAAACAGCGACATAAATAATATAGATTTGTGAATATTACCTTTTTCTTCGATGCCTCTGACTTCTTCGACATGTTCTTCAAGTTTTTATGCAAATGATTAAGGACCTGAAAAACACACACTAATGAAATCGGTTTGCCTCACGTCCCATAATTCACTGTCTCTTTGCATTGGCAATTCTTGGCACTCTGAAAGAGTAACACCACTATTTACAAAATCATTCAAATTGAAATGCACATAAGGTGATAAGGTAATGATGATTGTGAATTGCCTACTGCATCCGTATCCAGGTACAGACCGTGGTCAGAGCGCCTGATACAGAGCGTTCCTGTGCAAGTCACTCTAGGGTTTTTTCCAAAAAGAGCCACACCACTACCCACCCTTGTTGGTCCACCTTCAACCTGGATCTCCCCCAAGGTTCTCCATCCTCACCATCCTCAGGTGCCCATACACGTCGGACACGACGTTAAATCCTAGATACGCACAAAAGCTAGAGGTCCGTCGCTCTTTGCTCTTTGCCACCTATCTTCGCTACAAGTATCCGTAAAGCAAATTCCTACCCATCAGGCCTCCTTTCATTCTTTATTCAAACCATAATCACTGTGCTGAGCTGTGAAACAACCCACACGTGGAGAATTCAGCCTCACTCACAATCCATACACTATCAGCGAGGTCTGACGATCAATGCCCTGTCAGAAGTCTCCTTGGGAGACATGGGTTTCCTTCATCAGAGAAACTGTCTTTGTCTTCTCGTGCCAGTGTGGCAGACAGGAGAAACAATTTGGAACATTTGCCTTACATAGTACAGGAGTTGCCAGCAGGCCCATGCACGATAGGTGTGGGAACTACTTTCATATCCCATCTGAGCAGAAATCTAAGGAAAACTGGCCTCTGGTTGACTAAGGGCTTTAGACTGTCCATCAGTTGCTGAGTGAGTCTCTCCAAGAACTCGACCACATTCCAGCCGCATCTTCGTTTCCCTCTGGCACTGCAGCATGGAAATAATTTAATCAAATTGAACTTATTGCCAAAGCCCATCCCATGCACTAGATGCAGACTTCTAGGTGATCAGTCACACCTAACAGAAAAGCACAGGATTTATCAACCAAACTTGGGGCCCTGCACTGGTTAAGCTGTCACTGGGGTGTGAATTTCTGGCACCAGATCCCCAGCTCTGCTAAAACACTTCCCATTTCCTACAGTGGTTTAGCATCATCTATGAGACAAGACTTTCACCTGCTACAGTAGCATTGGGATCACCCTCACTACGTTGCAATGGGTTGGGTTACTGTTCTGCCAGTGGAAATCATGGTACCAAAAATTGGATGGAACAAGATTTTGCAGAAGCAAATGAGAAAGTCTTTCAAGGGAGGAGGTAAGAGCCGGAAGCAGGATGCTGCCTGGAGAGGACTGGCCTGGAGAAGTTCCTTGGTAGCAGCCTCCCCAGCAGGAGGCCACAGGAAGACACTGGTCACTGAGGACAAGCGGTAAGAAGAGGAACAAAGAAGAGGCAGCAAAACAAAATCAGAGGGGGAACCTGGAGAGGAAGTCCAAACAGAAATGTCAAATGTTATCTGCTTCCTAATGCTGTTCGGGGGTCTGTTCAACAAACTGTGGGATGACATCTCAGTAACACCTAAGGAGTGTTGTTGAGTAGTTCATGGAGAAAAAACCCAACTGTACTGTTCCTAGCTCTGTGTTGCTTTAGTGGTCTATGCTATGTGCAGGGAATCCCTGCATTGAAATCCTTCCTGACCCATTTGCCAGCTTCCTGATTCTGTGCACAGAATATTAATGTATTCTGATGCATCACAATGAAGGTTTGCCATAAAAAGAGAAAGAATGTAGGTGTCATGATGGGTTGCTAAGACCTTTCTTTAGGAGTAATGATGATGTCATGGTGGCATCTCTGCACTGTTCTATGCACTTAGAAGTGTGTGTAGGAAGCATATACTCAAACCCGAGCCAAGCTCATCATGGGCATCAGATACATCTGGGGGTGTGGAGGCACTTGGCGGGGTGAGCATGTTACCAGTAATGGATGTCTGAACTTAACATTCAGGTAGCAAAATCCTTAACTGAAGAGTTTACACTTGATGGTTGAACTAAAGAAAAACAACTTGACATTACATATTATCTCCATCTGTTCGAGCATGAAGTGAATTTGCTTAATTACATTGAATTCAAAAGATGATTTGGACTTATGCTTAAAAGCAAACTATTCCCATATTTAAAAATATCCCTATGACCATGTGTTTATTGAATTTTTAAAAACCATTTTCAAACTTTGCTCTATGAAAGACATGTAGCCTAATTTATTCCCAGAAGTTTACCTAGTCATTTCCATTAAGAAGACCTAAAAACTTCTGGTCAATGAAGAGATTACGCTTCAGTTCTAATCTATGTAATTATGAATTAAGAGGCACTTGTGTGAACCCCTCTTGTCCCAGGCAGCATGTCTCCAAGGTCCTCACCACTGTCCCCTCCCTCAGAGGACAGGGAATCCCTGCATTGAAATCCTTCCTGACCCATTTGCCAGCTTCCTGATCTGAGTCGGTTGCTTCATTCCTCCAAAACCCCTTTCCCTTATCAATAAAACAGGGGCCAGAGCTTCAGCCTGGGGGTTAAATGATCCAGGGCACATGTCAGGCTGCTGTGCTGTGCAGCGGGAGCTCTGCTCTCTATTAGCAGAAGCCCGTGAGTAAGCCAGCCATTTGCCAAAGAGCTAAGCTAGAGTTCTTTCCTAAATTCCCTAATCCTTTCATGCAGGCCATTTTTTCAAATAATATCCAAAACTATCCCCATTCAGAACAGACATAACTCTGCATGGATGGTAGGGGGAGGGGAAAAAACAAAATCCAGGTGGCTTATATTAAATGTTGTTGCTGGGAATAATACTTTCTGAACTGAATAAAATTATTGTTGTACCTCATCTGGTTATTCGTAGCACCAAAGATGTCTCTGGAGACTCAGTCAGGACTCTGAAGAAATACCGCTTTCCCACTGGGTTTATAAGGCTAAACTTCTGTGTGAAATAAAATGTGAAGTTCTGTCCCCAGGGCAATGGCTTTACAGAGCCAGGTCCCATCCAGCCTCCCTGGTGGGAGTCACCTCCTCATGTCCCAACTGAGTGCTGGGCAGTGGGCCCCGCCACCCTGGCAAAAGGCCCACAGCCTCAGAGTGACGAGTGCCCGCTGTGACTGCAGTCTCAGGCAGGTTGTCCAGGTTTGAGGAGCTAAATCTGAGCAGATATCCCTGTACCTAGAAGCTGGGGCTGAGCCTGCCTGTCAGCTGCCAGGACAACCTGAGGTTGCAGGAGGCCACGCCCTGAGGGTAAGTGGGACTCTGGGAAGTGAAGTGCAAACTTTCCCAGCTTCCCCCAAACTCCGGGTAACTTTCTCCACATCAAACCAGCAAAGCTGTGGGCGAAATGGTGGAGGCCGCTGTGGGGCTTGGAAAGGGGCTTGGAAAGGGGCGAGGGACATGCAGAGAAGCCCCAGGGCCCTCGCACCCCAGACCCTGCAGCCAGCTGCACCACCCTCTAATCCACCCCCCCCCATGCCCACCTTGGCATAGCAGAAGCAGATGAGCAGCAGTGGCAGCAGGTAGCCAAAGACGAAGGTGCACACCACGTAAGCCTTCTTTTGGCGCTTGTCGGGCCATTGATCCCAGCAGAAGGTCAGGTTGCCGTTGTCAGACTCCCGGTGGAAGAGGCCCTGGTGGTAGGCCACCGGCGAGGCCATGGCAATGGACAGCGCCCAGATGAAGCCCATGCCCAGCAGCGCGTTGCGGGACACCCTCAGGGAGGAGGAGCGCCTGGAGTGCACAATGGCCACATACCGGTCCACCGACATCGCGACCAGAGTGAAGATGCTAACCAGCATGGAGACAGTGAAGAAGTAGTGGGTGAACTTGCAAATGAAGGCGCCCAGCACCCAGGTGGGCAGCGCGTAGACCGTGGCCTGGAAGGGAATGCAGAAGAGCAGGTAGGCCAGGTCGGCGATGCTCAGGTTGAGAATGAACAGGTTGGTGGTGCTGCGCGGCTTGCCGGGCTTGCTGCGCGCCATCACTGTGATCACCAGGCTGTTGCCCAGCACGCCCAGCGTGAAGATTAGGCCGAACACCACCAGCGTGATAAAGTTCTCCACGCCAACGCCGAAGAGCGGCGGCGGGTCCGGGGCAGGGGGCTGGGGGCCGCTCGCGTTCCCCTCGCTGAGGTTCCCGGCCACCAACTCCATGACCGGCGGGGGGCGCCCGGGCGCGCTGGTGAGGGCTGCCTGCCAGGGACAGAGATGCCGAGAGGGCTCCCTCCTGGGACCCAGCCCCGAGCTCAGAGTGCCCGTTTCCCAGCCTGGGCAACCCTGGCGGCCGCGCGCCGGGGCGGCTGTGCCTGGCGGCGCTGTCTTTGGGCGGGTCTGTCTGAGTGCTGGACCTTCCCGGGCATAGGCGGCGGTCCCGAGAGCGCAGGGAACCCCTCCCCGGACGCCTCAGCCCGCTGCGCGGACTCTGAGCAGGGGAGGGAGGACCCGCGGTGCAGCCCAGGAGGTGGAGAGAGCCCTCTCCGCGCTTTACCTGCTCCGGATCCCTGAGACCGATTCCCTCGCTCCGGGGGTGGCTTCCCGCCACACCTGTTGCTCTGAGCCGCTCTCTTCCCCAGCGCACCAGGGGCTGTGCTGTGTGCGCACAGGACTCCTCGCGGTTCCTGGAGAGGGCTCCCCACGACTCCCAACCGATTCCACTCCCAGCTGTTGCCAGGGTCCCAAGTCGCCAACAGAGCCAGCGCTCTTTCTGCGCTTTCCAGGCAGTTGGCAGTAGGGAGCTCCGGTCTCTCTGTTGCAAATGAGAGGTAGTGCGGACACTGCCAGGAGAAATCCGCGCCCCCTGGGAGCCTCCCTGCCCCCGGAAGTCACCGCCCAGAGACTAGACCAATCCTAAAGGGTGGGTCCCCGCCCACCTCCTCACTGGAATCAGACGCCCTCTGCAAGGTGCGAACCAGCCTTAGTCCAGCAAAAGGGTGGCTCCGCTTGCGGCACAGGCCCAGTGGCGAGGGCCGCTGAGCTGCTCAGAGCGCGGGCGGGAGGCCAAGGGGTGAGCAAGCCTCCTCACCATCAGCACCCTTCATCTTTCTCCCAGTGAGAGCGCTCCCTGCCCTTTAATAAACCTCAGGAAGTCAGTGATTGGCACTGTGAAATCCCTAATCCCCACCCTCACCCTGCCCACCGCTAGGAGGGAAAGAAGCAGGGGGGAAAAGAATAGCCTGTTTGAGTTTTCATTGTAAACATGCATAAGTGAGATGAAGGGGGAAGGTATATGTTCCCATCATCCATATTTAGATCAGTTTTGCCTTACATTGCTCATCTGAGTGACAGAGACAGAAGCACCAACATGAAATATTTGTGAAGTGAAAGAACATGTTTAATATCACTGTTATAATGACAACAAGAAAATGAGCTGCTTTAGTATAGTACTGTCAGTAAACGTCATCCTTGTCTGTAATGGTCTGGTTCCCAACTAGAGAGCCCAAACGGGTTCATTCACTTGCAGCGTTTATATGATTTGTCCTACAGTCACTTTGCAAAACACCTGCATGTTTCCTGCATTCTCCAAATGGCGAGTGAGTGCCCCTGCACCAGACACAGTGTTTGAGAGCACAGGTGAGTCCAGCGGGACACAGAAATGTAGGTGTGGAACAGGGCGAGTGCTGTGATAGAAGCATGCACAACCTTGAGGCAGGGCCATCCTCGCTTCCGGGGTTTGGGAAGTAGTATCTCATTTCTCTTTCTTTTTATCTCACTGGTTCTATTCTGCCTCATTTCCACAAAGATTTTAATGCAGTTTGTTGAACACCTACTATGTACTAAGTACTTTACTTTCAGTCATTGTTTCATTTTGTGGAACCTGAGAAAGAAGCTAGCTACCAAGAAGGGCCACAGCCATTTCTACACAGGGGCCTCTCCTGCAAACTGCACTGAACTGCCCACCTGCTCTGTTTTTACCATCTGAGCCAGCCCTTATAAAGGGGTTCCTGGAATCCTATTTCAACCAATAGGACTGAGGCTTTCCCTGTTCAATTGGAGTTATGCAGCTATATCCTCCATCCGCATTTTTACCAACCAATCAGAGTGTCTTCATTCTGACCAATCAAACTGCAAGGATTTGGAGTCCTAATTTGCATGATGATGGGCCAATCAGGGACCAGGAGTGGGGATTTCTCTCTATATAAGTCACCTTCCCTTCTGGCTCAAAGAGTGCATACTCCCTTTCCAGCTGAGACTGAAGACTGTTTCCCTGATGGAGCTGAAACACCAAAGATGTCTCAATGGACCAGAGCAGAGCAGAGCTGGAGAGGAGCCTTATCCCAGGGCTGCCTCTTAGCTTACTGTTTCACAATTGAGCTGATTGCACTGAATAAAGTTTACTTCTTCACCACACCCCTAATTGGGGATTCCTTTTGGTGTTGAACTAGCACCAATGACCATCATTTGACAATTTAATACTAATGATTCTCTTGCAAGGAACTTACAACCTAACAAGATAAGGGAGTTTCTGGCAAGGGAATTGTTTTATCCACACACATTTCCCTGAGGACAAAATTGAGTATAAGTAACTTGCTTATCCAAGTATCTTGCTAAAACAAGAACATTGTTATCTTCCCTAAGAGGATGCCGCCAAATCTCATTAAATCGCCTTGCCCATCAGAGTTACTGTTTCTCCCAAGGGGCTCTCTGACCTACACTTTCATGGTTTTCTGTGGTGGACAGCTCATTGCTCTGAAAGTTATTTGTAATAATAGTTAGAAGAGAGTGGTTTTTTTTTTATTGTTATAAACGCTTTTCAACAAGGAACATATATGAAGAAATTATATCCAATACCCATGTAGCCACCACCCAGCTTAGAATAACAAAAAATTGTCAATAGAATTGCAACTACTTTTATGTACTTCCCCAGTCACAACCTCCACCCCCACCCTCACCATCTCCAGGTAACCTGTGTTGTCCATTAGTAATTTATTTATACATTTGTGGCATATGCATATGTTTTTAAATAATACACTGTTTTTTATTTACTTTAAGGTTATACATTGGGTCTCATAATGCTTTTTTCCCTGAAGGTATAATTTGCCTGGTATTACCATTGATATGTCAACATTCTTTGCTTTTTGTTGGCCTGCTAGATAATTTGTAAACTTCCTATGTCCTGTGATTGAGAAGTAGCTCTTGGAAACAGCACATAGCTGTTTGACCATCTCTAATTTTTTTAACTGAAGAGTTTGGTACATTTATATTTATTGTTATTATTGATCCATCTGAACTTTTTAACATTTTATTTTATACTTCCCATTTGTTTTCTATGTCCATACTTCTTTTTAATCCCTCTTGTTTTACATCTTTTGGATTTATTTTTTTGTTTGTTTATTTGTTTCACCTTAAAATGGGGAGAAGAAGAAACTTGTTAACCTAACTAAAGCTGACTCATGCATTCCTTTGGCAGCAGAGCTTGTATAGCTGGCTCACTTACTGATGGTGGAGCCTTCAAGAATCCTGGTATTTTACAAAGGTTTCAGCTCCATTTCTCAGCATAATGATCATATTTTGTGTGCCACAGGCATGCATTTCCTACTCTCAAGACTCCCAGTCCCTTATGAGTAAATATGGAGGTCAGTGCCAGATCCTTCCGTCTCTCTTCTCCATGGAGCTACTGTCAGCCTCTGGGCAGGTTCTTATTTCAGATCCAGCTCTGGGAGGGAAGGACTTACCCTGTGCTGAGAGGCAGCCCCTGTCCCTCTGCAGCCATTGCTGAAACCTTTGGGCCTCTGTCACTGCCTTTCTATGTTCTCAGTTCCCTATCTGCTCAGACCATGGGCCTCCTCAGGATGGATGTCTTTCAATGTCATGGTCTCCAGAGGGAGGTGTGAGCCAGCCTGGGAAACCTTTGGCTCTCTTCTCATCCCCCAGACCCAGTCCTGAGCAGGCCGCTCTGCTTGCTGTCACTGTGGCTGCCATGGACTTGCCTCCTGGATTCTGAGATGACACCAGTTCTCTCTGCTCCTGAGCCCCAGCCACGGCAGCCACACCAGCCACATCCTCCATCAGCCCTCAGACTCCTCTCCTCCGCCCGCCCTAAGGTGTCTGTGTGGACAAATGCTTTGATGTCACCTGTGCTCTCCACTCTTGGACTGGGAGGATGTCACCTGGGGACATCAAGTAACCTTTTCTCACTCACAGCCACCATTTTTCAGTGGCTTTGAACAGCTTATTTTGGAACTCAGGGCACCTTCTTCCCAGCACACACACTCACATACACTTGCACACACACTCATACTCCCACATGCACACTTGCACACACAATGAGATATCACTTCACACACTAGAATGGCTATCCTATATAATAAAAGCCTAATATGCTAAGTGTCCAGTCATCTGATCGTCCGGTTGGCCATTCAACCAAGCAAAGCATAATATGCTAATAATATGCTAAGGCCGCTCAACTGCTCACTATGACGTGCACTGACCACCAGGAGGCAGATGCTCCAACCAGTAGGTTACCTTGCTGCTGGGGTGCAGCTGATCGGGACTGAGTGGACACACCCTGGAGCCCTCTCGCAGTCCCTCCCCAGCTGGCCAACCCCCTGCGTCCCTCCCCAGCCCTGATCATGCACCAGTGGGGTCCCTCAGCCTGGCCTGCACCCTCTCACAATCTGGGACCCCTTGCAGAATGTCGGAGAGCCAGTTTTGGCCCGATCCTGCAGGCCAGGCCAAGGGACCCCACTGGTGTATGATTTCATGCATGGGGCCTCTAGTAATAATAATAATAATAACAAGTGTTAATGAAGATGTAGTAGAACTGTTCCCTCATTGGTGAGAATGTAAAATGGTGCAGCCACTTTGGAAAAGAGTTTAACACCTATTCAAATTGTTTTGGCAATTTGAGTTTAATTCAAAAAGTTAAATATAGAGTTTTCATTTAAGCCAGCAATACTACTTCTAGGTATAAACCCAAAGAATTGAAAACATATATCCACACACACGAAACAAAAGCAACCAAAAACTTGTATATGAATATTTATACTAGCCTTACTCAAAATACCCAAATGAAGAAAAAAAAAAC